TATTCTAACAGGACAATGGAAAGGTCCTGACCCAGTGATTGTCTGGAGTCGGGGTTCTGTTTGTGTTTTTCCACAGGGAGAACAGCAGCCGATTTGGATTCCAGAGAGATTAACTAAAACAATTTCTACAGGCCAAAAGGAATATGATTTGACTCAAATCCATAACAGCTGATATCCAGAACTCCAGTTTGGCTATTCTTACATCTGCAACAGTGATTAACCAGGATGCTTTTTTCAATATTTATTTTATTATTTGCCTTTTCCCACATCATAAAGTTCTATTTTATTTTTGAGCTCATACAGACCTAGGTTAATGTTTTTCTGATCAGTTTTATTTTTTGACTGTGGAGTTTTTAAGCATTGCAATGGAGATTTCACCTAGGTAAAGCTACAAGGCCTTTACTATTGTCTTATGTGTTGTATGTTATGTGTGCACACTTCTGTTTTGTGTTGTATGTCTGTATGTGCATATGTCCATATATCATATATGAGGAGCGCTCATGAATAAATGGATCCGAATTTTTTTATTCACGTGATTTTAATGGTTTAATTTAGATTGGGTAAATAGCTGTTGAAAATTGTTTTAATATGTGAACAAATAAGGAGGTTAACAGATCTGTTTGTTTACTTTCACCTTTCCTTCTCATTATATTTAATAATTCTGTTCAGGATAATGTAAATTGTTCAAAAAATTGTTTTCTTAGTGCCTGTTGGAATGTTACATAATTTTTTTCTTAGCATCATTGCCAGAATTCCTACCTTCATCCCAGTGCCAGTGAAGACAAAGATAAAACCAAACTACAGCTTCTTCGATAGTTATCACAACAAACTGTAAAAACTGATGCATCAATGAATAATAACTCAACAAGTAATGCTCAATTAAGGAGTCGATTTACTTTGGGAGGAAATGGACATATTGACAGATTCCTCTGCTTTGAATTGCTTGCAGAACTTGCCTGCAAGTTCACTTGTATGCATTGTGAACTATCTGTTGGTACAGCGAATTGTGGTAGTGCTGGAGTATTTTTGCTGATGGTGTCACCGGTGGTACAATTTTTCAAAGGAGCCCTCAATTGGCTTAGTGTCATGGCATTTTGCATCCTCCTCCCTTCTACTAGTGATGGTCTAAAATTTGGGGGCCAACAGAGGTGAGGCAAAGAACCTCACCCCCCCACTGGCACCAAGGCCAAATTTGGGGGCCAACAGAGGTGAGGCAAAGAACCTCACCCCCCCACTGGTGCAAAGGCCTATCCACAAGTATGGCTGTATGCTGGACCGGTAGTCAGTGACGGGTATGATCCAATTGCAGTGGTACCAACCTGGGACGGGAGGCTGACGCCTGGAGGTCGGTTCGTCCGATGACGGGTAAGGACCATATGTTGAATTGGACTGCCTAACAGGCACGGTCCCTAAGCCACATTGCTTGTTGTTTAATTAAACAAAAAAGGGGAGATGCTGAGAGCCACAGCTGAGTCTGTATGGCCCCTGGCATTTTGCCAACAGTATTGATTGACAGGCGAGGCATTACTATCCGCCTCTGCCGCAACTTTTGAGTTCTCGCACTATTTTGGAGTTCTCGTGGGGATTTCCGGGGATTCCCCGAGAGTTCCCATTGGTTGGGGAAGTGCAGGAGGAGGGATTTCCGGGAGAGATATTTCCAGCTGGGGGTTCCTGGACTAGCCGCCTGGCGTTCGGGAGGATTCCCCAGGAGCTGTGTGAAATGTTTTCCTGCAGTTCAAAAATAAAGTTTGTTCCTGCTTCAGTGGCTCGTGATTTGTGCCCAGCCAGACTGTGGCAAGATTAGAATGCATACCAAGTGCTTAATACAGTACATTGCACACCATAAAATCTCAAATCAAGCCAGGTGTGGTGGTGCATGCCTGTAATCCCAGCGGCTAGAAGAGGCTGAGGCAGCAGAACTGCAAGTTCAGAGCCTGCAGTAGCAACTTAGAAGGCCCTAAACAACTTAGTAAGACCCTGTCTCTAATTGAAAAAAATCTTAAAAAGGGCTGGGGATGTGGCTCAGTGGCCAAGTAGCCCTGGGTTCAATCCCTGGTACCAGAAAAACAAAAACTTGATCAATTAACAATATTACAGTAGGTCAAAGAATAACCAGAAGTGGACACATGAGTTTAGGTGTTGCTGCAAGAAATTGAGGTGAAGCCCAGTGTGATAGTGCGCACCTGTAACCCCAGCAACTTGGGAGGGTGAGGCAGGAGGATCACAAATTCAAGACCAGCCTCAGCAATTTTGCAAGGCCCTGTCTCAAATTTTAATAAATAAATAAATATAAAGGACTGGGGATGTACCATGGTAGTAGAGATCCCTGAATTCAACCAAAGGAAGGAATAAGGAGGGGAAGAAAGAGAAATTAGGTGAAAATAGAAGAGGAAAACAAAGGCCTGAGGAAAGTTCTTTAATATTTTAAAGACAGATCTTAGCGTGTTTATAGAGCTGGACTGTGTGTGATGAGAGGAACTCTGAAACTATAAATCTAAAGAAGAGAGAGAATAATAGATGGAGTAAAGTCTGAGCTTTGGAATAGGCACAGCTATGTCAAGTAGCATTGCATATGAGGAACTTGCCCTGAGATGATGTGAAAGCAAGTAAATCTGATTGGGTACTTATACTAGCAAATTTAGAGTCGGGATGAAGGAGTTCCTGTTCAACACTTACTCACTGGTGGTTAATATCTGGAAGATATAAATACTAGAAAATCAATTGAGGTTGGAGATCAGGAAAGGAATTCTGGCTTCTGTCAACAGCACTGTGATTTTTTTCATTTACAGTTTACATATAGGCATGAAGGCAGAAGGGAGGTTAACCCATATTGTTAACCCATATAGTTAATTCTTTTGCTTGCAAGTAAGAGAAACTCAAACTATCTTAAACAGAGAAAGACATTTATTAGAAGGATCACATGCTGAATAAGTTCAGGTCACAGCTGGAAAGGACCCTGGGACAGAAGTGTCTTAGGGAGTCTAGGAAGTTACTCTTTCAGCTCTCCACAAACCACATGATGGAATTTAGCTATTGATGGATCCCAAGTTTTGTGAATTACAATCCAGGCTCAAAGGAAGTTCCACCAGGCATGGTAGCACATGCTTTATGATCCCAGCTACCCTGGAGGCTAGGGAGGAAGAAAGCAAGCCTGTCTAAAGTTAAAAACAAAAGGGTTGGAGGTGCAGCTCAGTGGTTAAGTACTTGACTAGCAAGTATAAGCCCTGGATTCAAGCCCTAACATAAATAAGCTTCCTACATGAGGAAATACTTGGACAAGCCTGGTGATAATAGGTAAGGAAAAGAGCTGGTTTTAACACAGGGACTCAACAGCCATTTCAGTTGGTCTCTGCTAGGGCAGGGCAGGGCAGGTCTCCTGGTCTGGAAGGCTGGATATCCATTGGAACAGTGGATTTCTTAAGGAATTAGATTTACATTTTATAAACAGTAATTCCACAATGAACATAATTAATTCATCAAATATTTTAATGAGTCCAAATCTGATATGACCCCTGCCCACTGGGCAGCTCATCATCCAAGGAGAAACAAGACAGTTACAATGCAACTTGCTAAAGACCTGAACAGAGGTAATTACAAAACACTGTGTTTCCCAGCTGCTCCCCCAATCTGGAGCGAAGATCAGGACTGTAGGAAAAAACAACCAGTGTAGGAGAAAGACCCATTCCAACTATTGGAATGAGTCATGTTTGCAATTCCAATTTGGTGCAGCTGCCCAAGGCAAAGTGGTAGGCCTCATTCACATTTAATAAAGCTTTACTGTGCACCTACCTACTCGGGTGGGTGCTGTGGAGACATCAAAAATTAAGACACACTGCTGCCATGGTCCCTTAGGAGATTAGGAGAGGTGGGCATGGACATTACATAAGACTCTTCTTTGTGTTCAGTCATCTATCTTTCTACCCTCCTTGAATGGACTCATTTAGTTTATGAAAAAATGTTGACTGACGCCTCATAGGTTCTGTGCTGATTCTCATGAGAATCAGGGAGAAATAAGACTCAGTTCTGGATTTTTCAGCCACTGCCTGGAGTGAATCCAAGTCCACCAGATGAAGTATAGTAAGCCAGTTCCATTTTTCCCTATTACCTGCTAGACCACAGATTAGTCTTTCTGCTGGACATGGTGGTACATGCCTGTAATCCCGGCAACTCTGAAAGTTGAGTATTACAAGTTCAAAGTCAGCCTCAGCAGTTTAGTGAGGCCCTAAATAATTTTACCAAGACCCTGTCTCAAAAAAAAAAAAAAAAAAAGGCTGAGGACATAGTTCAGTGGTAAAGCACCCTGGCCCCTAGGTTAAATTCCCAATTAAAATAAAAAAAAATCAGTCTTTCTCCCAATTCTTAGTGTGCTTATGTCTCATACCAACTTGAACCAGATAACTTTATCAAATGCCATTTAGAAAGAAAGGAAATTTAGAGGTCTGCAGCTCAGGAGAGCCCTGGTACAGCACAGCTGCCCCCAGATTCATCAACCCAGAGCTGTTAAAACAAGTATAGACCAAAGGTGTAGAGCTGGGGTTGTAACTCAGTGGTAGAGTGCTTGCCTAGCATATGTGAGGCACTGGGTTCAAATCTCAACACCACATGTAAATAAATAAAGACCCATTGAAAACTAATATATATACATAAAAGAGGTATAGAGCATACACTATGGGTACTGCCTTATTTTTGTATGACCCTTTAAAAGGGATACTGGGGGGAAAAAAAACTAGAGAAAGATCACAAGTGGAAATTGAAACCCTGATTTAATGGGTGATTGACCAAGTCAGGCACAGTGAAGTAGCCTGTAATTCCAAGTACTCAGGAGGGTGAGAATTGCAAGTTTGAGATCAGCCTACAGGATTCAACAAACTTTGCCAGAGGTAGTGGGATTACATCTGTAATCCCTGCTACTCAGGGAGCCTGAGGCAGGAAGATTTCAAGTTCAAGGCCAGCCTCAGCAATTTAGGAAGACCCTGTCTCAAAATAAAAGGTGCTAGGGATGTAGCTCAGTGGCAAACTGTCCTGGTATCTATCCCCAGTATCAAAAAGAAAGAAAAAAGAAAAAGAAACTAGGTCATTTGAAGGACTGCCATATAGAAAATGACCTGCCTTGTGAGGTAGTGAGCCCCCTACCTCAAGGGGGGTTTTCAAGCAAGCGGTAGATCACTTGGCAGGAGTGGTGGAAAAAAATGGGCTTTTTGGCCTTGTTTGGAGAAAGAGGCAGAGTATGAGAGGTCCTGCTCCCTATAAATGGGATTTTCCTGACAGTATGCAAGGGGACAGGTAATCCTGTATGCACAAACTAAACCGACAGCACTCAAAATAGATGAAAAAGATTTTTAGCCCTGGGATCTGCTCACATAAATTATTTTAGGATAGGGTAGCTTGGAAAATTTAACAAAATGATGTCACCTCTCCTAATGGGACTGTTTTAGACACATACAGTAAGGCAGCCAATGTGGTAGAATACACTAAAGGTCAGGTATGTGAAGCAGAAGGCCTGGATTTTAGTTCTTGCTTTGCCCTGTGTGACCTAGGACGACTCCTCTCTGGATTCCTCCATGAAGTGAAAGGAAGTACAAGTTCCTTTCCATTCTAAAGCGCATTACCCCTTTGGCTGGGCCCCCCTATAGCAGATCTAGGGCTACAGTTTTGGGTCTTGGGGCTACATTTGTGGACAGCCAAAGACCACCTCTGACGGAAGCATCGGCCACACTCAAGGCAGGGGAAGGGCTTCTCCCCAGTGTGCAGCAGTTGGTGCTGAGCCAAGTGGCTCCACTGGGCAAAGCGCTTGGAGCAAAGGTCACAGGCATAGGGCCGCTCGCCCGAGTGTACCCGTCGGTGACTGGCCAGCAGCGAGGGGTAGGCAAAGCGGCGGCCACAGTCGTCACAGGCATGCAGCTTCTCCTCGGTGTGCGTGCTGCGATGAATGGCTAGGGAGCCACTCCGCCGGAAGGCACGGCCGCAATCAGGGCAAGGGTAGGGCTTCTCTCCCGTGTGCAAGAGCTGGTGCTGGAGCAGTGTACTGCGCTGGGAGAAGCGGGCTTCACAGTGCTCACAGGCGTAGGGCCGCTCCCCAGAGTGCACGCGCCGGTGGCTGACCAGGCGAGACGAGGAGGAGAAGCGGCGCTCACAGTCTGGACACGGGTATGGCTTCTCACCAGTGTGGATGCGCTGGTGGATGACTAGGGCGGTGCGCTGGCGGAAGCGACGGTTGCATTCCAGGCAGGTGTAGGGCTTCTCTCCCGTGTGTGTGCGCTGGTGGATGGCTAGCAGGGAGGGGTAGGCAAAGCGACGCCCACAGCTAGGGCACTGGTGGGGCTTCTCGCCTGTGTGTGTGGTCCGGTGGTTGGCTAAGGACCGGCTCCTGCGGAAGCAGCGGCCACAGTCAGGGCAGTGGTAAGGCTTCTCCCCGGTGTGGATAACCTGGTGCTGAGAAAGGTTCTTGCGCTGGGAGAAGCGTTTGCCACACTGGTCACAAACATAGGGGCACTCACCAGAGTGTGCCCGCCGGTGACTGACCAGCAGGGATGGGTAGGAAAAGCGGCGCCCGCAATCTGGGCAAGGGTAAGGCTTTTTCAGATTCTGGGCACATTTGTGGCTTTCCAGGGCCGGGTGATCAGGAAAGGTACAGCCACAGTCAGGGCAGATGGGGCCCCCAGACGTTTGCCTGGGAATCAATCGGGGTTTGCTGGGTCTCCGTCCCCGTTTGCCTTTTCTGGGTGCCTCCTTAGGTGGGAATGCTTCCTTCTCCCCATTCTTCTTTCTGGTTTCTACAGGGACACAGGGAAAAATTAATTTAAGAAATACTGGGCTCTTGTTCTTACAGTGTTATAGGTTATAAAACCCATAGACTCAGAGGCTCTACTCAGTGGTACAGCACTCGCCTAGCATGAGCCAGGCCCTGGGTTAGATCCTCAGCACCACATAAAAATAAATAAATAAAATAAAGACATTGTGTTCAGTTACAACCAAAAAAATAAATATTAAAAAAAGAAAAAAAGGGCTGGGGATGTGGCTCAGTGGTTAAATATTCCTGGGTTCAATCCCCTGTACCCCTCCCCCCCAAAAAAAGAGTATTAGGCAGAAATGGAAATAAATGAGGTGTAAACTGGCAGAGTCTGGGTTATAAGACCCTCTAACTAATGGCTTTCAAACTTTATTGTGCCAACTTTGGATTCAGCTAAACTATGGAAGGGTCTAAGAATTTGCATTTCTAACATGTTCTCAAGTAATGCTGCTAATCTGGAACTCTGGAACCACATTTTGAGATCCAGTGCTGTAAGTCTTGTTAATAAGGTCCTTGGACTATATTTTACCCACTGGTTCACAGATCTAGGTGCACATCCAAATCAATGGAGCTATTAAAAAAGAAATATAAACTCATAGACATTCACAAGAGAGAATAAGGGCATCTGGGGTGGGGTGTTGGTATCTGTACTTGTTACCAAGTTCCTCAAATGACTTAGATATAAACAACAGCCATTTGATAACCTTGGCAAAAACTAACTGAAAGTTTTTAAATAAGGAAATATGATCAGATCTAAATCTTAAGAAATACCTGTGGCCTTATAGAATCTGGCTCAGAAACTCCAGCCCAAACAGTTCTTTCTGCCCCTGTGGGCAGATCTGGGGTCTTTCTACCTGAATGGACTTGACCAGAGCCTTACTTGATCTTGAGGAGAAATGTTTTTCACCACTTAGGGTCACACTGCCATAAAAGCATAAAGAGGCTGGATGAAGCAATGCATGTCTGTAAACCTAGTTACTCCCAGATGCTGAGGCAGAAAGATTGCAAGTTTGAGTCTTCAGTAACTGAGAAGATCCTGTCTTACAATAAAAAGGGCTGGGGATGTAGCTCAGTGGTGGAGCACCTGCTACCCTGGGCTCCACCTGGGGGTTGGGGGAATTGGGCTGCATCCCAGGCAGTGTTCCCCCATGAGGTCCCTTGCTCCCTTCAACCAAACCCAAAAACAGAAATTTAAGGTGTTTCAGTCAGAGTCCAATTTAAAGGAGGACATGACAGGGATCCTGGGAAGGAGGTAGGAGAGTGGCTATTTTAAAAAGCTCACTGATCATTCACACACACAATGGAGTACAGCAGGTGGTTAGTTTGAAAATTGACTTGATAATCTTTGTTTGTGGACCAACCCCATACCATCAAAAACAAGACCCTGGGCTGAGGATGTAGCTCAGTGGTATATCACTTGCATAGCATGCACCAAGCCCTGGGTTCAATTCCCAACACTGCAAAGCAAACAAACAAACAACCTGACGCCCTGAAAATGAATAAAGTGTAGCAGCAACACAGAATGGATTATGGGTACCCCTAGCCAGAACAAAACTCAGTACTAAGTCATTAGAGGCTAGAACACTATAGGAGGGTTGCAGGCTCTCCGTGGGCATTTTCACTCACTCCTCTGGACTGTTAATCCTCTCCGATACTCTTGCGGATCTAGGGCAGCCGGTTCCCAATCATCGGTATTTCGTTCCAGCCAGGAGATGAGGGCTGGCTTAGGACCTGCACATCCTGGAGAAGGAGAACCAAGTCAGAGGGCTATCCCCAGATAATCCACCCGACGGCTACTGCTGCCGACAGTCTGCCCTCTCCCTTGACACAAACCTGGTCGCAGGACAGGACCCTGATCTCCCTGCCCGCCCCCGCCCCCGCCCCCGCCCCCAAACTCCTTCTTCCCTTCTAGGCCCCGCGGAAGCGGAGTGGGGCGGGCCTCACCGAGCGCGCCCAGGTGGCCGTAAGTCTCCCGCATCACGTCTCGGTACAGGGCTCTCTGCGCGGGCCGCAGATACCCCCACTCCTCAGGGGAGAAGTACACGGCCACGTCCACAAACTTCAAGGCCCTTGGCCTCCTTCCCCTTCTCCGACTAGGTCCGGCCTCTCCTTGTCCCCGAGCAGGGAGCGGAGCCGAAGGCGGCGCCATTGGACCTGAGAAACCCGCGCCACGGCCTTTCCCTTCCCAGCCCGGACCTCTGGGCGATGACGAACCCCAAGATTTAGGAGCCCCCGCCAGCCCGGGGCTGAGCGTGGCCGGGAAGGCCCGGAGGGAATCAGAATCGGCCGCCTGCGGGGATAACGGAAACCCCTCGCTGTTATTCAGGAAACTCCTGCCCGAACTTGGGTGAAAGGCACCGGAAGATGCCTTCGGGGAAAATGGCGGCGCTGCTACTGCACCGCCTTTGCCTGTAACATAGACAGCTTCCAGCTATCGATTTTATTGACCGGAGCGCCATGCCGGCTTCCTAACCTTTTTGCCCTAAAGTGCAATGGCGCCGAGACTAGGCTTCACGCCCTTTCACCCCCGTCTCCCTGTTACTCTTGTTCATTGGCCCGCGACTGAAGATCGAACATTCTGATTGGTTTCTGGGGAAGGCGGCCTGTTTGAACGAAGCCAACGAAAGCATAAGGGCAGGAAGCTGGACCATTAGTGCAGTGTTTGAAAGAAATTGAACTCAGAACCTTGGCCTTTCTTATGCTAGCTAGCCAAGTGCTCTATCACTGAGCTAACCCCTAGCCCTTTATTTTTGTTTATTTATTTATGACTCACTAAGTTGCCCAGGCTGGTCTTGAATTTGGGATCCTCCTGCCTCAATCTCCCTTGTATCTTGGGAAAACGGGCGTGGGCCACCGCGCCCGCCCTACTAAACATTTCATTTCCTTCCTTCTTTCCTTCTTCCTTCCTTTCTCTTCTCCCTCTTTTTTTACCCCTCGTATTAGGGATTGAACCCAGGAGTGCTACCATTGAGAAAGATCCTTAGCCTTTTTAAATTTTTTAATATTTATTTTTTATTTACTTATTTTTACCGTAAAGATAATGGAACCCGGGTTGCTTTTCCACACCCCCAGGGTCTAGATAAATTGCTGATGCTAGTCTCCAACTTGCAATTCTCCTACCTCCGCCTCAGGAGTTCCTGGGGTTACTGGTGTGTGCCACCACTTGGTGCCTCATTTTATCCTTTGCTGCCATTTTCGTGAGTTGATGGATATCATCCCAGTTTAAAGAAATTTCTTAAGAGGGAATATGCGTTTCCAGGATCATATCGCTAGTGAGGAGGGGAACCAAAATTAGACCTGAGGTTGACAAGGTTTTTATTCATACCACTTGACTATCCTGATTTGCTTGCTAACTCAGGAATCAGTCTGAATTCTTGGTCTCAGGTTTGGTCTTTTGCCTAATCTCCATACATTATTCTAACAACTTTTGTTCATTGTTCATAGAATACTGCTAGGCAGTTAGGGGAGACAAAATTACAGAAATAACTCATGGGTTATGCTTTGAATGGAGTTTACAGTCTAGTGAAGCAAATTCACAACCAGTAATAACCGAATGCAACAAACATGTAAAAGGCATGCAGGTGCGCGCGCGCACACACACACACACACACAAATGTTGAGAGAACAAGCCACACATATTTCCCATCAGTTCCCATTTGTGTGCATTATGGTACAGAGTTTTGTAGCTCAATGCCATCACCCAGGGATACTGGGGGCAGGAGAATATACCATTTACCACATCTCTTTTCTTTTTTTCTTTGGTAGTGGGGATTGAACCCACAGATATTTTGCTACTGAACCAAACCCCTGGCCCCTTTTTATTTTGAGACAGGGTCTCACTGAAATGCTTAGGGCCTCACTAAGTTGCTGAGGCTGACCTAGACTTGTGATCCTCCTGCCTCAGCCTCCCAAGTCTCTGGGATTTCAGGTGTGCACCTGTGTGCCTGGCCCATTTGCCATCTCTCTTAGCTGGCAACATAGAAATCTTTCTAATCCAGTAATCAATATTTAAAAGCACCTACTGTAGTGAAAACAGTAACCCTTTAGCCTTCATAAAGTAAAGATAGGAATCACAAAATAAGAAATTATGAGAAAGATATTTGAATAGAGGTGATTAAAAAAAAATCCTGCCCTTAACATTCTGCATTAACTAAATAAATGCAATTACTGCCATCTCAGCCTAGTGCTGTGGTGCTTACCTATCATCCAAGCTACTCAGGAGGCTGAGATGGGAGGATCATGTGAGATCATTTTAAGACCAAAGACCAACCTGGTTAACAGAGACCCCATTAAAAAAAGGTCAAAACCAAAAACATTAATTGAGTTCTTGCTCAGGGCTAAGTGGCTGTTTGTTGAACTAAATAGGGGAACTAATGGAGTATCAGAGTTGCCAGGATAAGTAACAAACAATGCTTCTTTCTTTCCAGATTGATTCATCAGGTATGATGAATTTGGCCTATGAAGGTGTGGGATTTAGGGAGGACTGTGAATAAACTGTTGAATCATAGCTACAAAGGTCTATGGCACAAAGCTAGGACTTCAGGAAAGTTCTAGGTATGAAGAGAATAATGATATTTTCTGATGTAGTCAGTGGTGGTAAAACTGAAAAGGTTAGTTGACACCTGACATTAGTGGACTTCATCCTGTGTATTAGGAAGCTTTGAAATAAGTTTATAGGAATATATGACCTACTAATGTTTCAGGAAGTTTGCAAGCTGAACTGGTAGGTTTGTACTACTCCTTCTGTGTACACACAGTTAAGTTGGGAAAATATGAGTGTAAATGTAGGCTGCTAAGGGAATAAAAAGGCAAATGAATAGCAGATATTTCACTTGAAAGGAAGTGGGGAAGGAATCAGTTCTCTGTAGTCACCAGGCATGGTGGCACATACTATAATCCCAGCAACTTGGGAGGCTGAGGCAGGAGGATTGCAAGTTCAAGGGCAACCTCAGCAAATTAACAAGAACTTCTCTCAAAATAAGAAATAAAAAGGGCTGGGAGTGTAGATCAAAAGTAAAGCACACCTGAGTCCAATTCCCAATACCAAAAAAAAAAAAAAAATCTGCAGTCAGCTTGCCTTGATACACAGCTAAACCAGAAGATGAAGTTGAATAAGAAAGGAAAGAAAGATTAAATATGGAGGTCAGAAGGTCCTGGGCCCTCTGCCCACATCCATGCAGTGGGAAGGCAGGTCAAACTTAATGGTGCAAACTTATCCTGGCTCTTGGTTGCACAAGCCCTGTTTGGCAAGGTTTGCCATCATCCTGGTGGGAGCCACTAAGGTGGGATCTTTTTTGGTGTGTGTGGTGCTGGGGATTGAACCCAGGCCTTGTGTATGTGAGGCAGGCACTCTACCAACTGAGTTATATCCCCAACCCACTAAGGTGGGATATTGATAAGCAGAGTCAGATGCTCTTAATTATAGGGAAACTTGTTGGAGAAAGAAGTAACCAGGACTTAGTGTGAGAGCAGAGTCCCTTCTCCCTCTGTATAAATTTCTGGATCCACACTGGGCATCAGGTGAAGCAAGGCTCCTATTGAAGTAAAATGGCCCATTGCAGAGAAGGTTACAGAAGACCCCAAGAGTCTACACATCAAAAGCCACACAAAAAATAAAACTAGGGCGGGGGTTGTGGCTCAGTGGTAGAGCGCTTGCCTAGCATGTGTGAGGCACTGGGTTCAATTCTCAGCACTGCATATAAATAAATAAAGTAAAGGTCCATTGGCAACTAAAAGAAAAAAAATTTAAAATATAACTAAATGGTGTTGAGTTTTAACTAAATACATGGCACACTAATATAGATATCATTCAAAACTCACCTTGTAGAGTCCTTGTAAGGATGATTATATTTTTTCTTCTTCTTTCGGTGGTACTGGGGATTGAACTCAGGAGTGCTTTACCTCTGGGGTGCATTCCAGCCCGAGGATCAAGTCTCTTGATTATTTCTACCTTCTTTCTCTTGCTTTCCACAAGACAAGAGAATTTGAACTGAAAATTATAGGGTGTTTTGAAAGCTGTGTTCTTGAATCGGGCAGCTATATGTGAGGATAGAACAGCACACAAGATTGTCTGCTCTTTCAAGGTGTAGGACCTATGTGCAAATCTCAAATTCAGAGAAACTCCACCTACCAAAGGCAGCAGCTTCCCATTTTCAGACAAAAGTACCATCACTTTTCTAGAATTCTTCCTTATTGCTGACATCCAATCTTGTATAGTATTCTTATAAGGAAAGGCTGAATTTGTTTCAGGGGTAAGCTGGCACCTTTCCCTGGTTAAAGATAGTAAAAATGGGCATTTCAATGGAAACAGACTTCTAAAAAATTAAAAAAAAAAAAAACTTAGGAGGAACAGAAAACAAATTTAAAAAGACAGTTTTTATCCTAATTGTTAGGTGCCAAATCATCAAATTCTTTACATAAAGAATATTTTGGGAACCCAGGTGTGGTGGCACACAACTGTAACTAACCCCAGCTACTCAAGACACTAAATGAAACAAGAGGATCACAAGTTTGAGACCAGCTGGGGCAACTTGGCAAGACCCTGTCTCAAAAAAATTTTTAAAAGGGATGGGGATGTAAGTCAGTGATAGAGCACTTGCCAAACTTACATAGGCCCTGGGCTCAATCCCTAGTACCCCCGCCCCCCCGCAAAAAAAAGTAAGTTCTATGGTGGGGGGATGTGCAGCTCAGTGATAAGAGCACATGCTTAGTATGCGCATGCACGCGTGCACGCTCGCACATACACAGAATAAGAAATAGGCAGCTCTGTGATGCTTCTAGTGTCAAGCTGAGGCCAATCAGAAAAGGCTTTTATTAATCAAAAGTAAACATTCATTCCTTAGGCACACTAGCCACATTTCAAATGCTAAATAACCACATGTGGCCAGTGGCTGCTCTGGGGGACAGCACCAATGCAGAACATGCCTAAGGTTGACAAAAGCTTGATTGGACAGCAATACTGTGGGTACTCAGCAAAAAAAAAAAAAAAAAGAAGACCCCAATCCCCACTCTGCCTCCTCCCTTCCACCTCATTGTGATCAGCTATCCTTGAATGTGAGCGAGACTCCAAATCTTGGGGAAGGAACTTTGGAAGAGATGGTTCAGAGGTTTCTTACCAACTGGGGCCCATAAAGAGCGGAGCTGTGCATGGACAGGGACTGCTGGGGAAAGGGGAACCTAAGAAAGGCTGACTTCCACATCTGCTCCTTTTTCCTACCTATGCCAGACCCCAGGCGCTTAGCCTCTTCCTTGGGATCTTGGCAGAAAGCAAAGTACAATCCTTTGAATTGGGTCTTGGCCAAACATTCCAGTTTGCTGGAAGCTGGCAGTAGCCAGGGAGCAGAACTTCTGCCTGAGCAACATCTAGTCTGAGGTCTGAATATCACCAAGTTCAGACTTCAGGTTCACCGGCTATGTGCCCAGCACTGTTCTGGGCTGTTGGAGAGAGGGACAGTGAACCAGAGCTCAGCCCACCTTTGCCCAAGCTCAATCTGTGCC